AAGTTATTAAAGGCAGATTGTACTGGACATTATACAAAAAAAATAACATGTTATCAATTATAGATAAATACGATTCTACACTAAAAAAAATAAAGAAATGTTTAATATCGATTGCAATTATTACCTTCTTAATAAAGTAATAAAATTCATGCAAAATTTATGAGAAATTCAGTAAATAAAACAAACTTAGATGGGGACATTTATATAAAGCGCATTTAAAAATAAAGAATGCTAGGTTTTAAATCATAAAGCTCAAATATTTTGAGTTTAACTAGGGAGAAATTATTAGCAATCGATAAGTTTGTTTTACAACCATATAAAAAGAAATCCTTTAATTTTAATATCTTTTGTGCATAATTTTTCGAGCAACGTCTTCATCATAAACATTATACGGCGCGGTGCTATCAGGAACAGTTAATCGCTCCGTAACGCCACGTGCTTCTCGGAGGCAACAAGAACAGCCGGCGTGCACAAGGCGCGTTTAATCCTCTTAGGGGGGCGGGTAAAGATGCAAAGAGCGTCTGATTGCCCGCGGAAGTGGAAAAAAAGAATGTTACGACCTCTTATATGGTATTAACTCATTACATAACACGCTTTGCCCACGAACGAGACAACTCCGGCAGTTAACGACCGAGCTAACGACCCGATGCACCTTGCGCCCCCGTCCGCTTATCGCGCCGCGAAAACCCCTCATCTCGCTGTCGAGCGTAGCGCTTCTATCAAGCTTAAAGCCGCGATCGTGCCACTTCCTCGCGTGTTTCACGCGACTCTTGTCCGCCAACATACAATGCCCCCCGATCCTCCTCGTGGATCCTTCCAATTAAGCGGCAGGAGCCCGATCAGGTGCACAAGAGGGTGCACGTTCGATTGTTCGCTCGTGCCCGTCTACTTGGCCAAGAGGCATAACGCGATCACGTGAAAAGGGAAGTCCTAAGGCCCGCATGCTTATCCTGTTGAGAGAGAGGGTCTGCTTCAATTCTCTTCTCCCTCCATCCTCTCGATTCGTCTCGCCCGACGTGTTTTCTCCCTTTCCCTCTCGTCGTTGTTCACCTTGCGCGTCCTCTTTAATGCAACCCGGCGACACTCATGTCAGGGCATTCCGAGAAGAATAATAATTCCGCAATTTCGGAGGCACGCGGCCCACCGAAGGCTTTTTTTCGCGGCTAATTCCGCAGGTGTACCGGACAGAAGCGGCGTCAGCCGCCACCGCCGCCGCTATAGTCATCCTCGATGGCACGGCGACGACGTTTTGCGCGATGCTTAAAACAGCTTCTCGTCGATTTCTTGTTAAAGGTAGAGTTGGCTTTAAACCGACACGAATTACAAAGATTTGAATAATATGACATTGACGAATGTGTTACAATAGAGAAAGGCGTGAACTGCATTAGCAAAGTTAAAATAATAATAAAATGATAATGAATAAATGGTTATAAAACTGCTAATTCACGTTTTAGAATTTTTTAAATATTCTTATTGAAATGATTTATCCATTTAACAATAATGAAACAATACTGATATAAATTTTAATGTAACTTATTAATTAGGTAAACTTTAACAAATTTCTCTTTCTTTTTATATCTTTCCTTAATCCCATCACTGGCCGTACAACGCAGCGCATAATGCGTGTATAGAGGACTGTATGTGTGAGTCTGGGGTGGCGAGGAGCGAAAGGATATGTGGCTTAAAACGTGTTTTAAGAACTGCAAGTCGAAGGAAGGGAAGAAAAAGTGTAACTATTGTGTGTGTGTGTGTGTGTGTGTTTGTATCTGTGTGCGCTATAACAAAACACAATCTAAATGTGGGCCGCGTGTAGTCAGACTAGGACAACAAAGGAGCCCTGGGTGTTGCCTCGCGATCACGCCTGCTCTTTTTCATCCTTTCAAATTATTTTCTTTCTTTTGCATCCTTCTTGCCGGTGTAATCAATGTACAATCTATTGTCCTATTCTATTTATTCGTAATATATTTAATTCTTTATATTTGAACTATATATGTGTTTAAAAATATATAATATAAGTTTATTTATATATAAAAATATATAAATAAATTTAATTTAACTGTATATTATTTCTTAATTATATCTTGTGTGCAATAAATATCGAAAAAAGATAATTGATTTAATCGAATAAATAGTTGAGATTCAGCTGAAAATATTAAGCGGATTGATGTCCAGCTAGTGATTGGATAATGAGAAATCATAAACTACCAGGTCGGGATTGCTAATTTGAAAGTAATGAGTTTTATAAATATGTTGCTAAGCGCTTCGGTTCCGCGTTGCACCTACGGTCGACTTGATCAGTTCTATTTATTGAAAACATGTTCGGTTGGAGCGCCCTGCTTCGAATCGAAAGCAGGAAATGCGAAGCATTAAATTAGTAATACTTTTCAATGGAATTTATACCGGTTGACGTGTGAAGCGAGGTACGCACTTTCTCATCATTTACACACTGGCAATATTGGAATCTATACACGCAAATGAGCCACGAATTAAATCATGCATAAAAGTGGATATAAAAAGACGGATTATTCTAGAGAAAATTCGAGATCAGAAATAAAAAAAAAAAATAGGAGAGAAATCTTGCTTTAATTGATCATCATAAAATTTCTATATAATTAACGCATATATTATTCTTAAGTTTGACGATTTATCAAGCATTTCTATTCAACCATATCAAGAAAGACCGGAAGTATGTCAAATATTTTAATCATTGTTGAGAATGTGTTATATGATAAACAGTGAATATAATCGCAATATTTTAATTTACGCGATTATAATTTTTGCTTTCTCATTATACGCTATAACGGAAAACATATCGCTTTAGCAGATGCATCACGCACTCGAGGAAGTATCAGAATAAAGGATCAGAATGCAACTGCGAATTCCAAATCAGAATTCATGGTCACAAAGGAGAGGGAGATGAGCATGACACAATCGAAGATCGATATACCGTTCTGGCTTGATCCTTATTGGCTATGCGCCAACGAGTACTCAAGTGCTACGCGTCGCACTTTAATAGTATAGATTGCCTCTTGCCATTTAACGAGACGCGAGATATTCGAAATCGCGTTAATGTGACTTTGGATATTACAATGTTAAAATTAAATTATGATAAAAAATTGTTTTTAATCTTCAGTCAATGTCATAAGCTATTAATCACAATACATGTCATCCTTACTCAGAAACTTGAAATGATTGTTCTCTCTTTCTCCCCCCCTCTCTCTCTCTCTCTCTTTCTCTCTTTCTATAATACATAGATTTCATTGCAGACAGTTAAAAATAATAGTGCAGGTATTTATAAAAATAAATATCATGTAAAAAACATATTGAAAGAATGGTAAGGACAGCACGATAAAATTTGTAAAATTTCCTAAATTTGCATCGATCTTTTCGATTTATCTGGATCATTATTGACTGTCGCAATCTTTGTCAGACAGTCCTACCAAAAAAATACAACACAAACGCAATCGAGAGCAATAAGTATTTAATTACTAAAGGCATTAAGATACAACACATTAGACGGATTCTTTGAGGCTCATAGATAGCCAGGGGCTCATGTTGATATACCTCGCGATACACTCGCAGCGGCCCATTAACAATAATTTCGATAGTGATCCTCGTCGGTCCCGAGAGACACGGTTCTCTCGGAATCTTTTCTCGGTAGAAGAAAACGAGGAGAATGGAGAGCCGGGAAGAAGGAAGGGAACACTCGTGCAAACCCGTTTGGCCGTTAGCAGTCCCCGACACTAAACCAGACTTGGTTCAGAAGGATCGAGACATGCTCGCGGGCAAAAATCCAGCCGTTTTGCTCCTGCCCACTTGTACACTGACCTATATTCGCTGGAACCGGGTCCGGGGACCTGCCACAGCCACAGAGACCCACTACCCTGAAGAACTCTTCGTTGGAAACGATGAGAGACCGTCTCTACCTACGGCTCTTTATCCGCCTTTTCATCGATTTCCGCTCGTCCGTCGATGACGTTTTTCACGCGTATGCTTATCACGATTTTTAATATATATTTATTGCTGTAGAATCTTTAGATGTACTTTTCTTACAAAAATATTTTTACTTTTTTTATAGGTATACATTTTTAGTTTTGAGTTATACAATCCATATTTAACATGTGCAAATAAACGATCAAAGAACTACAATGATAATAAATCGCATAATCTCGACAAATAACTTATTTTATGGACTTAAATTTATCTTTCTTTGCATTTTTATTTTGACGTAACGCTAAGGAATATGCTATCCGATATTTGTGTGCTCAAGAATCATGCTATTTTCCCTTTTACTTCTTTCTCCGTTATATTAAGCATGAAGAATGGGCGTTGCATTATCACGGTATTATTATCTTATAAATTTACAGATGTAAACGATCGATTGGATTATTCTCGGCGGAGAAACGAATGTGGGTGGCCCGATACTTTAAAATCTCTCCGGCACGCTGCTCGTACATGTTTCGGGGCAGCGAAGCTATTATGGAAGTAATAGCTCGCTTTTTCGCATGCAGATCGAAAGATATTAATTGCGTGCGGCAGCAGTAACAACGCTCCACTTTCGAGTTATACGTGCGCGCATTGCGGCAATTAGATGTTAATACTAACGCAACCTTACATTAATCGAAATTTTTCACAGCGGACTTCCTCATCATATTCCATGGCAAGTAAATCTCGTGGCTAAATTACATAACTCGCTAAAAAGTATATGTGATATCTCTAATTTATGCAGATAAATGCCTATTTAATTATAATCGTTGCAACAAGTTGTAATTAAATTTGCGTTTGAAAATATCTCTCAAATACATTGCAACAGTCGAAGTACCTCGTGTGTCGCCAATTAATTCTGATACAGTCTATAATAAACTACAATAAACTACAATAATCTGTATAATTATATTATCTCTGAAATTGTTTTAATGCTATTTTAATTTTTGTATAATATAACAAATGAAATTTATAAGGCAAATCTTTACTTTAACTCACAAATTAATTATTAATTTTATTTTTTAAAAAGCTAAAAATGCTTTTAAAAATTGTACGCAATGTCAAATTCATGAATCTTGAATTGTATTAGATTTATTAACTTTTGACGTAGCTGATCCGTCCAGTTCCTCCTTAAAAACATTTCTGGTTGTTATTTGTATACAATAAAGTTAGAAATATCCAACTTCATAAAGTTTCTAGAGCACGACAGAATATCATCAGTAAAAGGGTCATAGATTCGATTTCCGCTTGCTGCAGTGCAGTATATATGACATAAACACACATTGTCACGCACACATATATACACACCGGCATGCGCGCGCGTAATACATCGGAAACTTTGACAATGCACGAACAATCGAGCGCGCGCGCAAGAAAAATTACATATTCCACGATATGATTTTCTGGCGATGTTTCTGGCATCGCCCTTACTCTCTTTCCCGACTATGCAATTTTCACTTTCAAACGGTGTGTTTATTCATTGTATCTCGCGCATTAATTGCCGGTCACGGTAATTCGAAAAGACAGCTGATCTAGCCGGTAAACAATGACGATCGATCGTTCATCGTGGATCCGCGGCCCCGTTTAAATTTACACACGATTATCACGTGTATAGCAATTACATGTTGCGAGTGTAATGTACGCGGCCGGCATTTGCATAATTACAGACATACGATTACGAAGCATGCGGGATTCTTGAATCAATGAAAGTAAAGGGTTTAATAATAAATGCGCGGAGTGATGGATGCGAACACGCCCGTGTCGTTACCTAACGATATCGATTAAAGGAGGCGCGCGACTCTCGCGAATGGTCACGAACGGAAGGCGTTACTGCAATTCGATAAGTCGACAAACTGATCAACACAATGTAACATCTCAATAAGATGATCGAAGCGAGTGAATTCTGACCATCTTGGCATCAATAGAATTTTCTAAATAAAATGTTATTAATAAATGCATATGAGCAATTTGAATATTTTAATTATGAACATATAAATTCCACACAGTATTATTTTCGAAGCATCTGAAACGTAGCATCATGCTTTACAATTCTTTTAATGCTTAAAAATTTTAATAATAAAAAAAGAAGCATAATTTGTTAATATACACACAATTTAAATATTTAAAGAATTAATTAAATAATGCAGAATTAATTTCAATTCTCGAAGATAAAGCATAAATTTAAGATCTACGAACAAAAGTATATTAATATTAAAGAGGCTGAAAGAAATCAAATCGTTCGATATTCTCGACTTGACTAGGACAAATAAAATGACAGCGAAATGATTGCTCGCTATAATCGAACAACTCGCACGAAAGACCGTGCAATAATACGATTATGCGAAGATATATATCAGCGTAATTACAAACATCACATTCAACGTGACAACTCATCTCGCAAGCCACGAAGAAATCAGTTAATCTCTCCACAAGATACCGTTGCTCAAACAAAAAAAAATTGATATTTGCATTTGCGGGTTTGCGATGAATATAGCAGCATCTCTTAATTGCAAAATATAAAAGTGAGTTGTGTAATATTATGTTGTAAGATATCTATAATTTTTCGAAAGGTAATAAAATTAAATAAATTATTTATCATTTTTGCACTTTGCTAAAAATTAAATAAATGACGGTTTCTATTATATTCGAGCAAATTAATATATCGGAATCGCGTTATCGCGTAGAGAACTGACCCAGTTTCGCATATCGCGAGTCATATTCACTCGCTAAAAAAGCGTCGTCCGAGAGAGCAGATTCCATTTTCCACCTTGTCATCTCCGTCATCTCTCGCCCTCCGGGTTCTCGTCCCTCTCATTAGCGAGTCTGACTCTCGAGAAGCGAACAGCGGGAAAGAACGGACGATGAATGCAGCTACAAATGAGAAGATACGGCAAACACGGTAGCGAGAATACGTCCCACCCTGAAAGATATAAGAACGCTAAATGAAGAGCGCCGATACCGATTACCGCGGATGCCAAAGAGAGTCTAAAGCGAGCACTATAATCAAACAGGTCAATCCTTCATTCTCAAAGATATCCCTCGTGTCTTCCTGTACCGTTTCGTCCTGTAATATATTTGACCTCCTTTCGAGCTTAAGGAAAACTTCGTACATGAGCTAACTCCGCACAAATAAAATTGTTTACGACTAAGCAAGGCCCATCAATTGCCGAATAGACAAATAGCAGTTGTAAAGAATGGCTTCGAAGTATCCTATATTAAATCCAAAAGTCTCTTTTGTGCAAGCTAGACTCGAATTGAGCCCGTATATATTTGTTTATAACTTATTTAATGCTCTATTTGTAATTGTTAGTTCTTTATATATTATTATTACCTGTGTGCTTTGGTAGCAATTTTTTCACATACGACAAATTATAGTATCTAGCGTATAAATAAATAAATAAATAATAAGTGAGCTTTATTAACGTAATCATATTGTATCAGTATTTCTCAATTGTCGACAATTTTTTTCTCTCTTTGATTAAAATATTATAATTTATAATAAAATTCTATTTGTTATGCGCGTATCTCATATACCGTTACGAAAATTTAAGAATATTACAGAAAAAAAGTTTAGCATATGTTTTCTATTTATCGAATCTAAATCAAAGTTTGTTTATGTGAAAAAACAAAATTAATTTATCGGACCCGAGCGATTCCGTCTTGATTGTTCGTGCGTAAAGCAATCACGATTGAGACGCGGACATAAAAGCTTGCGATCGTAATATCAATGAGCACATGTTTCTCTGCGATGAAGCGAGTCATGGAACGATTAAGTATATGGAATTCCAGAATTAATATGTACGCGCACGTGGTAGCGGTATCGTCTAGTTCGCAGTAAATAGTTATTGCAAATCATAACGATGATATTAATCAACGGTTAAGTTAATTCGAATTTAATGTTTGATAAGAAAGCATGGGGCATGTACGGCTGAAGTGAAATCTTTATATAACAAGATATAGTATAATACTAGTATAAATACTGATCTATCCGGTCTATCCGGGCGAAGCGCAATATTGCGCAATACGATGTGCATTCAATATTATAAAATGACTATTGCGGCGATTCATCTATCAATGGGAATACCGAGAAGTCGCATTCTAACAGTGTATTTGCAGATAGAGAGATTTTATGTTTTGCACACATTGAACGCTTGAACGAGGTTTTTTTCAATCAATGAAACTGTCGCGCCATAAAATCAGCCTTGTGACTCGAGCTGACGCATCGAATGCAAATATGACACACTTTCTTGCACAACATATTGCGATAAGAAATATGCAATTTAATTTATTAATAATTTATTAATAATTATAATGTTTTTAATAATATGTGAAAAAATATCTTGTATCTTGTATCTCTTGTATATATTAATAATATTTTGTTAAGGAAAGAGTATATGTACAAGTACATCATCGCGCTAAAGATCCAGTATGCAAGACGGAAACTGCCTACGATATAAATTTCGATGGGATTTGAAACTCTTGCTGATAGTCCAAGTTTGCAACTATATATTCCTCGTTCGTTATAGCAAAGGGGAGGCTAACGCTATATAAATAACTGTTCAAGTTTTAAGTGGGCTCATGGGAGCGAGTTTTTAATAGAAACGACCGCGTTTTTCCTGCACAACGGCGCAGTTGCAAGAAACAATGCCGCCGGGAAAGAGCCTTAGAGAGATGGACGTTATCACACTGCGCAATGTTCTATTTGGCCGGTAAGACAAATAAAATGTGCTTTCCAGTTATAATTACCCTATTATGTATCGCATATATTTTGCGCAGAGATTATTCTTTTTAATTCTTAATTCAAGAATAATATCAAATTTAAGAATATTAATGTTTCGATTCTAATGTAAAAAAATAATGATGCTGTTAATTAAAAAATTATGCAATAACTTAGATATATGATAAAATTGACAAAAATGCTTCATCATTATTGATCAAGACTGCTGCCTGCCCGTTCTCTGACAGTTGACTTAGATTTTAGATACTAGTCTTGCTTAATAACGATTGAAAGTTTTTGTCAAATGTCGCATATTCAAATGTTTATATAATTTTTTAAAATAATACAATATTATTATTATTTTCCTTGGCAATAATCGTAGCATCAAAGTTGTTGTGTTTGATATTGGACATTAGAAAGAATAATTTAACGTGTGACACCTTTCATAGAAAAAGGTTACGACTTACCGGGTTGTTGGTGAGATTCGCCGAGGTAGATGCAGCGGTGGGACGATGATCGTATTCTTCCGGATAGTCGTCCCGATAAGTCCTGCCGGCAACGGGTCCTTCTCTGTGTCCCTGACTGTCTCGATCGTCCCTGATGTCTCCGAGGGGATCTCGATGGAAGTCTCTGAAATCCCTGAGGTCGCGCAAGTCCCGAAAGTCACCGAGGTAGCCCTCTTGGTAGTCGCGGCTCACGTGGTCCCGTTCACCTCGAAGCTGCCTCGACATCGCCGTCGACTCCTCTTCCTCCGAGTCGGGCAGCAGCTGCTCGACTCCACCGTCACCTCCGCCACCTCCAGCACCACCTCCGCGTTGGGCGGGATGACGCCGGAGGTCACACCATCCTACCTCCTCTTCCGCCCTACCGGCGATCTCGCCTCGAGGCAGCCGAGCCGTGCTTGTTGCCCTCACGACCGATCTTCCTCTGACCTCCTGCCCCCGTGGCCCCCCGGGGGGCTCCACCACATCACAATCAAAGGCTATACCGCCCGGAACTCTCACGACCCGGTTCTTCCGCGTCCACTGCTCGTTTCTGACTTCGAGCTCTTCCTTGGACCACTTGCGATTTTCGTTTTGAGAGATCCGCGTATCACCCCCGTTACTGTTGCAAGTACAACGAGGAATGTCGTATTGTTGAT